AATATTAAATTGAACAGAAAAGTCTTGTTAATATTTTAAGACGTTTTTCAGCCTTACAACATGTATCGTTAAGCAGCAGTAACCTAAACATTGGGTATTACAGTAGTTTTTAATGTTTTTCGAATTTAATTTTTGTAAAAGTAGTGTCCAATGTTTAGGTTACTGCTGCTTAACGATACATGTTGTAAGGCTGAAAAACGTCTTAAAATATTAACAAGACTTTTCTGTTCAATTTAATATTCTCCGCGACACTCCACAATAGTCAGTTTAGGAATTGTAAGCAAAACAAAATGATGAAAAACTGTTACGGAATTCTGTTACAGTAGCAGAGTTAGCTAGCCACGTCGAGTAGATGATCTTTCTTCATATATAAATTCATTGCACCATTATTCCTTACCTTTTATCATTGCTAATGTTGTCTGCGCGAACTAACTTTTTGAACATTACGTACATGACAACTTGTACATCATACTCGTTTTTGTATTGTTTATACCTTTGCTATATTTGATAAATAATTTATTAATCATTACTCTTTTCCAAAACCGAACATCACTTCTACTCTTGCACAATTGCTCTCTACTATCTTTTGCAGTTTATCAGGGATGATCTTCATAGTTACAAAAGACATCCGCACGGATTAAGAGAGAAAGAGAATTCATTACGGAACTCTGTTACGGTAGCAGAGTTAGCTAGCCACGTTGTACTGATCATTTTTATGTAAACAAAGAAGGAAGAAGATAGAAATTGTAGACATGATGTTTTTCCTTTGTAGTATTCAAGAAAAAGGCCAGAAAAGAATAGAAATCAAATCAAATCTCCATCTTTTTATGTCGGTATAACTTCAATCGTGTTCCCTTTCGAAACAAACTTTTTTAAGAAAGTAGAGTATCTCTCTGACTAGGAAAATACTTGTATGAATGTAGTAAGAAGATGAATAAATAATATAACTCCAGTGTGCAGGCAAGCATCTAGCACTCTGTGTTATGTAGAGGATCATGCATCGAAACTGACCCGGTCTTCCCTGTGCTCCCACGGCACCTGGCAAGCCTCTGAAAAAGTTTACAAAATGCGTCAATAAACTTGGCAAGAATTGTCTGAGAAATACGATAATCACAATTTTGAAGTTTATCGTTGCGAGGTGTAACGGGTGGTTCAGAAAAAAATTGAATACTTTTCTTTTCTTTTTTTATGGCATTTAAAGAAAGTTTGAAGACTTGATTTTGTGTTCATTTAGTAGAGAATCAATCGCTCTACAAAACTCTTGAGCTTGATTTCCAAACAAGTTATCTCCCTCTAGACAGTGTTTCAAACATTAATACATGCTCAATGTTCTTATTGCGACACTATAATAAAGGAAAAACAGAAACTATCAAGAAAAGGTACCATTAGAATTTCCAATACACCACAGAATTCTGCAGCTTCTGACCTGTATCTTGGAATTCTAGAACAAAATCTTCTTGAGAAAAACTTCAGTTTAAAAATTGTCGAAAAAACGGACTTTTCTGGCTGATCTGCGGTAATGTTCAGTTTTGAGAGAATATCGTCAAAACGTCTATCGAGCGACATCATATGGCTTTGTAGAGAATTTAATTCTACACTAGTTAGTGCAGAATCAAGTTTTGAATTTAAAACCTAATCTTTCTTCAATCTTGTCAAAACTCACAACCAAAAATTAGTTTTAGGCCTCTACAAGCTGGTAATACAATATAAGGAATCTCTAAAACCACCTAAGACGATAGGGGACAAAAGTGTCTATCTCTTGATATGAAAAACTTTATTTTTTAATCTTTATTTGATGATCGTCCATGTTTTTTAAAACGACAAAAATTTGTGCATCGTAGTAGGAGCATTGAGCACGTATTAATGTTTGAAATACTGTCTGGAGGGAAATAACTTGTTTAGAAATCCAGCTCAAGAGTTTTGTAGAGCGATTGATTCTCTACTAAATGAACTCAAAATCAAGCCTTCAGACTTTCTTTAAGTGCCATAAAAAAGAGAAGAAAAGTACTCGATTTTTTTCTGGGCCACTCGTTAAAATCATTATGTAACTGAAAGTGCCAAAAACTTTACCTCGGTCCCATTTGTCCAACTTCACCTGGAAAGCCGCGCTCGCCCGTACTTCCGGCCTCACCTCGCGCTCCCTAGAAAAAAAATTTTTTCACCGTTGCATTTGATAGTTGTTTTTTCAAATCAACTGACCTGTGCTCCTTTCTGCCCAGTACCTCCTGGAAATCCTGGTGCTCCCTAGATATATAAAATGCAAAAATATCATAATTAACGTTAATCAGAACGATATAAAGTAGGATTCATTCACAAGCACTTATACTTACACTCGGTCCGGGAGCACCCTAGAACAAATATATCAAGATGTTAACGTTTGAGGATGAAATGACTTGTGCTTCTATTTCAACTCACCCTATCTCCTGCTGGGCCTACGGGTCCAATGCCACCGGGACTGCCGGGCGGTCCGGTTCTACCTGACTCCCCTGGACTGCCACTTGGTCCCACCTCACCTCTAAAAAAATCTCGAAATTAAATTAATTCATCAAAACTGTTTGATTTAATACCTAGGACCAGTCGGACCCATAACTCCTAGAACCACATGAAAATTGTAGCTAGCGTTAGATTCAATCTTTTACATAAAAAAGGCCACTTACCAGAGTCTCCTTTTATTCCTGGTCCACCTGGCGGTCCCTTAATGAATAAAGAACAACTAAATTTCATTGACACCAGAGATAAGTCCTTCATACATACGGGCGAGCCTCTGATCCCTGGATTTCCTTGTTCACCCGATTGACCTGGTCCTCCGGGCGGCCCTATACCACCAGCTAAAAATGTTGATACAAATAATAAATTTATTTAGTCAAGAGATTTAGATACTGTTAATCGTCAACAAAAAGTAGCTTATGAAACTAGCTGAAAAACATTTGAATTAACAATAAAATAGTCATAAGTCAACAGACTCATGCATCGCTATACATTTATTTCTAAACATAATTAATGTAAAATACTTACGCGAGCCCGGAATTCCAGCTTCGCCTGTCGATCCTATAAACAGTAATATTCAAAAATAAATAACAATAGGCATTTGTAGTTTCAAATTAATTCTTACCTTTTGCCCCTTGTTCTCCATTTGTACCTGGCTGACCCTATGATAGAAGTACCACAAAAATAGTATCCTACTTGACAGACTAAGATAATAGGCTAAAAGTTAAGATCGATGACAAACCTGCGGGCCTGGCAATCCGGTTGCTCCATTACTTCCTGGTTCGCCTCTGAAATATTGTAACATACACAGTCAAGCAAATAACAGTAAATGCTTATTGAATATGATTTTACCTAGGACCTTGACTTCCGGCTGAAAACAAAAAGGAAAATGCGTTTTAACTTCGAAAAATTGACTCGTGCAGTCTCTCTAACCTGGACCACGACTTCCTGGTTGCCCAACTTCCCCTAAAAGAAAAATCAGGATGAAAATGACGGAATTAAAAAGAAGCAAGTGTGATAATATATTGAACAGTCACTAATATCTTATAGTCAAGGTTTTCAAATAACAAACAGATCGAGACTGTACAAAAAGTCACTAAAAGTTACCTTTTGCTCCTGTAGCACCTGGAAATCCTGGTGCCCCTTGGCTCCCTACAGGTCCAGGTGGTCCAATACTTAAAAAAAGAAAATTCGTTAGTGTAATGAAATGAACAACGGAAACTAAAGACAGTTTCATGAACTGGAGCGAAATGAATTCAGTACGTCTGACTCACCCTCCAGGTTGTCCATCTATAAAAGATTAACAGAAGCAATCCTGATCAAATTGACATAATCGTTAAGTTAGACAGCTGCCTACCTGCTCCTCGAGGACCTATAGGTCCACTGCTTCCTGGACGTCCGCGTTCTCCGGGTGGACCCTGGTTAAATAGACATGAAAATAAAAAGAGTAAGAAACTTTTTTAAATTAGAAATAAAACTTACTCTTGCTCCTGCTTGACCAATTGGACCAGCTTGTCCAGTTGTTCCAATGGGACCGGCTTCACCAAGTGAACCTTTATCACCTAAAAACAGACGGTAGCAAATGCTTTTTAGAAAACATTGAAGTTCATTATACTAGATCTGTCTGACTCTCGTAGACCTTCATACTGTGTGGAAATGAACGTGAATTTTAGTCTGATATTATCTCAGCTGAGTACTGAGCATTATGATAAATTCAACTCGTTGGAAAGTCTAGCAAAAATACGTACCTTTTTCGCCAGGAGCGCCGGGCCATCCCTGACAACACAAAACATTCAAAGTTTATTTCAAAAACAGTTAATGCAGAATTCCAGCGACTTACAAGATGTCCTTTTGCTCCAGGCAATCCACTACTGCCAATTTGGCCGCGAGATCCCGGTGGACCAGGAGGACCAGGTGGACCTAAAATAAAGATAAGCAAGAAATTAAATTAAAATTTTCGCAAGCTTTGCCTATGTATACCTGAAGGACCTTCACGACCAGGTTCACCCTAAAAATAGAAAAGTTCCAATTTAGTTCTATACTATTACTGACTGGAAACTAATAGCGGAAGGGGAAGAACGATGGCGTTTACTCTTTAACTGACGGTTAAAAAACGGCTTATCATTTTTTTGTAACTTCATTAATAACACTGATTTCCTTCTCATCGAAAACTTACAAATGCTCTTTCACAAATGTACAAAACGTCGAAGCGGTTCTCAATACTGAAATTGGAACTAAGGCTAGTACTATACTCCAAATGATTGGTTCTATGAACTGGATTTTAAAAAAACTGAAGTTAAACATTAATAAAAACAAAATCCTAATGGTAATCAGCTAAAAATTGACATTTTCTAATATACGCTGATAAAACGCTTTGTTAATGGTAAAAAGGCATTTTTCAAGGGACACAGTGAAGGACTCTAGTTATACGGTGTAAACATTCTTGTGAACGACGTGTTAATCGACTGCTAGCGACGCCATTTCTAGTTATATTGTCAGTCTATATTTTAGAACTAGAAGGCAGACACTTTCTGTACTACTAACAGACTCCTAGCACAGCTACAGGAGAAAATTTCAGTCCTTATCTCAATGTTTTGGCCGAGTTATGAATTTTTTACTGTTACTGGGCCCCCTGGGACAGGTCAACAAAAAATTCATAACTTTTCAAAGAAGCGACAAAAATCAAATCCTTTTAAAGATTTTACTAGGATCCTGTCCTCTATTGATCGCTATATAAATCATTTGAAATGGAACGTATCATCTGGGAAAGTTCCCTCGTGAGTGCGATTTTCATGACACTCAGAGATATCAAAAACATAGAAGTGTTGTCAGGAGAAATTGGAAACATACCAGGCTTCCACTCGGCCCCGGTGGGCCGCCTGGTCCAGGCGGTCCAGGTGGTCCCGAATCACCGGGTATTCCACTTTCTCCTCTTGCTCCTGGAGGTCCAGGAGGGCCCAACGATCCTAAAATTAGTAGCGAAATAGGTTTTTTTCAGTTCAATATACTCAACGTAAAAAATAACATACCAAGTGGACCCATTGGGCCACCTAAAGAAAAAGGAATATTAATTCAATGACAAATAATATATTTTTCTACAAAGATGATTCAACTTTACGTTGTCCTGGTGCTCCTGGGATCCCCGCAGACATTCCACCTATCCATCCTCCACTTTTCAAGCCACGATCATTGTCAGTCGTCTAAAATTGTAATGTTTATCGAAAGTGATGAATAAAAGTACACATTCTTACGGGCGAACCGCTCTAAAAAAGCAAAATAACTGTTAATTTTACATCTTAAGAAAGACACGATTGCATACATACCGGCGGATCAACTATAGTAGACTCTGCTTCGTCTTCTTCCTAAAGTCAAAGGTAAAACATGTACATGATTGAGCAAATAGACGGAATAATGTTATAAAGCTCTTAAACACCAATTTTCCTCCACAGGTTAAACCGTGCATAGTGTAGTTAGATATTTGGTTGGAATGTAATGTCTTCTAAGCTTTAAGGAACAGTTTTAACTAACAGTTAATTTTAAACATACTGCAAGTGTATACTGTAAATTTTCCTCATTGTTCTGGTAAAAATTTCATGTTTACAATACAAATAACTTTTGAATAAACTGTAATTTGTAATAATCTTGAACTATATGACATAGCTCAACGTAAAAGAAGTATCGAGATACGTACTTGATCAGCGGGACGGCGTACTCTTCCTGAAAAATAAAAAAAGACTTTGCAATGATTTACAGATCAATTTTTTCTGATGAAAGTTCAAATAGTTAAAATAAAAATGTTAGAATCATTTAATTCGTTTATATCTCTGTCATCTATTGCAGATCGAGACCCATTGATGCTTACGTCGATCGTCATTTGGTGCAGCATCCAAGGTCAATATTCCAGTGTGCACTATGAGTATTATTAGAAAAAATTTCTTCATACTTCCCACCCGATCATTGTTCCATCGGCTGGAAGTAAACAAACGAAACTTAGTATCGTGCGGTCACTATTCAATTTTTTTTCTCCCGTTACGTTCTTTTCAAAAGAAAAATATATTTCTATATACATTTTGGTGGCTAATGTTTTTTTTGCCATCTTGTTTAATTACTTAATTATTTCTATTTTGCAGTTAACCAATGTCTTTCATCTTAATATGATCGATATAACCAAAAAGTATCTCTTTCCTTTTTCTTTTTTATCAACAGGCGGAGATGGATTGTAACATTTATGAGAAAGAAAAGAAGAGGAGGAGTATTGGCGGTTAACTCTCAGCTATATGGAAATGTATAACCAAGGTTCTATTCTACAGTTGAATGATATTATCTGTCTATCCGTTATCAAAAAATGGCAACAAAATATAACAAATAATTGTTCGAATTATCCATGTAGAATGATGCTACCATCTTTTATCAATAAAGAAACTGATTACTTGTGCTAAACCCTGTCACTTTGAGACAAACGTAATCAAGTTTGAACGTGTAATTTAGAAAATTCTTAAGAGTCCTTCAACCTTCAAGAAAGAAGGCGAACATTTTTTTGGAAGCTTATTGTTTTTATTTCAAGTGTCTGTTGAGAAGAGGGAACGACTAATAATGCTGATTGTGATCATCTCTGGAGACTTTTAATGAGATTTGATTGTGATGAACATATAATAAAATAAGAAAAGAAATTATCACTGGCTCCTTAGTTCATGTTTTTTCTGAGTTTGTTTTTTCAATTAATTTAGTCGCTCACGTATATCGGAGAAAAATCTCAATGTCAAAGAATTACAATGACAAACGTGAAACAGAAAACTCCAATTCAAATCCAACTATATGCATGGTTATATGATCTGAATTGCGTGTTACTCGTTCATAGATATTTTTTGATTCTTTTATTTTTCAAAGAAGAAAAAAAGATCATCCACCACTAAGAAAATGAAATGATAAAACTCGGTACATCACGATAGTTTTCTTTCTTTTTTTGTTAATACCTGTCATTCTCATGAAATCAACGAAACGTTCAAATGGAAATTAATTGTTTTTATATATTTTTTTTTTTTGTTTTTTGATGTTTATAAGATAAATATTAGAAATAGATATGTTCTAACAAAAATAAATTGTTCTATTCAATACACTTATTAATTCAATTAAATTCTTCATTTATGTTATATATATATCAAGGAAAAAACAAGAAACTTACGAGAAGTTTAGATAGTCTATCACGATTACTTGAATGTTTTTAAACAGAATAAAAGATGTATGCATTATATAATAAAATTCAACGAAAATTGAATCATTTTCAACAATTTTCATTTGAAACAAAACCCAAATATAAAACGAAGTTAGAATTAATTCGTTTAAGTGCCGTTGTTTGTGGAATTGAATTTTGTTATGCTGCTGAAACGGCATTTGTGAGTCCTATATTACTTACAATTGGTATGCCTGTCATGTTTATGACATTTTCATGGTGTTTATCCCCATTAATTGGCTTTTTTCTTGTACCTGCTCTTGGTAGCTTAAGCGACAAATGTAAGACATCCATCGGGAGAAGACGTCCATTTATATTATTATATTCAATTGGGATATTAACTGGTCTGTTATTAGTGTCAAACGGTTAGTAAAAAATAGATAGCCATTCTTTTTTCAAACGTGTTTTGTTCAAATTTGAACAATACAGAAGAAAACTGAAAACTACATGCGTAGAGCGTTCAAAAAGTTCGCTGATTGATTTTATTTTAAAAAAGTAAAAGGCATTACAGTGTTGGACTTGTTGCCTGTTTATAGGTCATACAATCCTCTATTCATAGACATTACGAGCTTTGATCGATCAAACATTTTTGTGCTAGAATAACAATTTTTTTAGATCACATTGGATCAAGTGGTGCAGATTAAATAGCACTCAGTATTTTGTTCATAATTTTTTTTCTTTCATTCCCAAGAACCAATCTTTTTTGCAAAAGATGTGTTTTGAAATTTTCTACAAAAAAAACATATTGAGCGTTTTGCTACAAAATGTAAGAGTGGAACGTTATACGAATAATAGTGAGAAGATCTAAAAAGGGCAAAACTGTAATGCACTTTTTAGAGTATTCAAGTTTTCTTTTAAAGCACTTGACCAGATATAAAGATACACTTTATAGCAAAATGCTCAATGTTTTTTGTAGAGAATTCCAAAATGTATCTTTTGCAAAAAGATTGGCATTGCAAAGCTTTTTGTATTTTTAAAAAAAGATCAATCCGGTAACTTTTTGAACGTTCTACGTACTTTTTAAAGCTTATAGACTCTCATATTTTCCACGTATAGTAGCTATACCTTTTTGACTTAATATCTTAAAACCGTATTTTCTCATCTAAAACCAAGTAGAAGTTAGTATAAGTTTAACTGTATAACGTAAATTTCTATTCCAGGTAAAATAATTGGAAAACTCTTAGGTGATAACTATACTGATAGTTATTTTCTGAATGTAACAGACAATCGAACGAACAGTAGTTTAAATGAAATTATTTATTCAAATCGACCATTATCAAATCACAAATATGGAGCAACATTAACTATTTTAGGCGTATTATTACTTGATTTAGATTGTGATGCATGTCAAAGTCCAAGTAGAGCTTATCTTCTAGATGTCACTAGTCCAGAGCAACATTCATTCGGTTTAACAATGTTTACAATGATGGTAAGTGAAATTCTAATTATTTTCGTATTTAAATGAAAATTTCTTCGTCATCAGGCTGGATTAGGTGGAAGTTTAGGTTATTTTATGGGAGGAATTCCATGGGAAAAAACATTTTTGACTACATTTCTCGGTGATCATGTTCATGTCTTGTTTACAATTGTTTGGGTAATCTATATTATATGTATGTTTGTAACACTGACAGCTAGTCCCGAACCCGATGATGTTTTACCATGTTTACCAATTTCAAGTTCACGTCAATTTCTTGTATCTTACGCAAGTGCAACAAGTCTTAGTTATGATGATTTTTCTGCAACAGATGTGTATGACGATTTTTATAGAAGAATAAAAAAACAAAATTCATCCGAAATAAATAATGATATAATATCAACAATTTCTGCTGAGAGAATGAAAGTTTCTTATACCGATTATTTATGTTCAATTATTTATATGCCATCATCTTTGAGATGGTTATGTTTAACAAATTTCTTTTGTTGGATGGTATGGAATATGAAAAATATTATTCTTTCTTTAAAATAATCATAATTTTATTTAGGCATTAGTATCGTATTCACTTTATTTTACAGATTTTGTAGGACAAGCAGTTTTTGGTAAGATTATTAGAAAAGATGTAATACTTTACATATATATATATAACATTATCTTCATTTAGGTGGAAATCCAAAAGCTGATCAACATCATCCTTCTAGAATTTTATACCAGGATGGTGTACGATGGGGAAGTTGGTCAATGTCTGTTTACTCAATATCTTGTTCATTATATTCATTTAATATCCAAAAATTAAGCAATTATTTTGGTGAGTTTTTACATTTTTGACAGCTATTATTTTACAATAAACTTCGGAGTTTTTTTTTCTTCTGAATAAAACAATATTCCTTCTAATCAATGTTAATCAACAGAGATTTTATTCGAACTCAAAACTACGTATAAAAAAAGAATAAATGAGTAAAAGTGCAAATTTGTCATTTTATTTTAATAATATAACACAGGAAATAATTATTTTTAATTTTTGACACTAGGAAGTTTTTGAGTTTTAGGTATAAAGCGTGTCTATATTGCATCTCAATTAATTTATTCAGTTGGAATGATTCTAATGGGGATATTACGTCATCGGGTGGCTGTTGTTATTTTGTCTGGTGTAACAGGTGTACTTTATGCAACATTGTTCACAATTCCTTATTTATTAATATCAAAATATCACAATTCGGACGTGGTTTGTATAATATATTCTATAATATTTTAAATATAAAAGAAAACATTTTTTGAACATTGTAATTCTATATTTAGCATCTCAAGCACTGACATTTTTTCATATTTTTTGATAAATGATCGTTTGATCTAATATATTAATAATTATTGTTTCTATTTAGTTTGGAAAATTGACTAAACATTCAAACACCCAAGTACGAGGAATTGGAACGGATGTGGCCATTATTAGTTCAATGGTCTTTTTAGCCCAATTATGTTTATCATCGACAATGGGAACGCTGATACATTTAGCTGGATCAACTAGGATTGTTACTATTGTTGCCGCTCTTCTAAGCACATGCGGTGCGTTATCAGCGACTCAAGTATTATATTTATAGCTTATGTATGACAAATATCAAAAAAAAAAAATCGTTTATATGGTAATAACTGACACCCATTAGATTTAATTAGTCTATCTTATAATTCATTAGTTCTAAAATAGATTTTCTAGAAATGTTTTTCATAACAAACATAGACACTAAAGAAAAATCATCTGATTTATTCTTCTCTCAAGGTCATCATCTGATGATCTCGAGTAAAACTTTTTTTTAAAAAACATCTAATAGTTCTACGGAGCAGAAGAAGGAAGATTGATCTAAGATTTATTCGACACTTTCATTTAAACGTTATAAAAGGATTTAATAAAAATTTGAACGAATCTCATTGTTAAATGCCTTTTCTTTAGACAATTGACTTGTTTCTGACGTTCTTTTTATTCTCTATATATACAAATATAGTCCGACATGAATTGCATATGATGATTTTATTTCATTTTTATTTGTTCTGAATTCTTGACTATACATGCAAAAAATAACAATAAAACAAAAGTAGTTTTCGCCTAATTAATCATTCCAAACAAAAAGATAAAACATTTAGTTGAAGTGAAAATAAAATTCAACAATAACATTGGTAAATGCACACAAACAAACAAATGGAATATATACTCAAACATAAATATACAATATTGTATAGTATCAGTTTCTTGGAAAAAAATCTCTTTTTTGAAAAGATACAAAAAAGACAAAAACAAAAATTATTAAACAAATAAAGATTATGAGTATTTTTATTTGTTAGATATCAAAGTTAGTAATGATCAACCATTTTATTCATTCAATCACATTTTTTTTTAATAAAACAAAATATTCGTGTACATCATTGTTACATCATTCTTATTGTACTATTCATTCATCATCTTTGTCGAATTTTTTATTTCGCATGGATTTTAGAGCTTTTTCACGTAATAATCTACAAGAACATAAAACATCTTTAAAAAATAGTTCTGTTAACGAAAAAATATACCTACCTTTCTCTTAAATCTGTTTCAGATTCATTATCGCTATGATCACTGTATAATTTTAATGTAGTATTAGAATTTAACAACAATTTATCTTGAGTAGGACTACTGTTTTTTATTTGTGAAGTCATTTTATTTGTGAATTTTAATGATAATTGATTTTTATCATTTTCATCTAGTGAATTTTCAAGCACAATCTAAAACAAAAGACAGAAAACATTTATCATGTTGGTAAAATGGACAATATCATATTTCTACTTACAGTACTTTCGGTATAAATAGTTTTTATGGGTAATTCTAATTCATCGCCGACAATAGGATTTGGTAATTCTTCATAAGCTTCTTCTTCCTAAAAATAGAGAAAACAATATACTTATAGAGTAGAAGTAAACTTTTTCAAATAACGATTTATTTACTTCTTCCTTGGAAGATGGTGATAATTGTGCTACGGATTTTTCAATGTACTCGTCTTCTGTTACATCCTTTACTTGTTTCTTTTCGTGGTGAGCATTAGACTTCTCTTTATGTTGTCGTTTACGCTGTTTGTTGTTCACATCATTCCTGCTTTTGTGCTTTTTATGACTTTTTTTTGCTTTTTTCTTCTCTTTTTTTTTACGTGATTGACCTTGATCGACTGATTTGTCTTCAACAGGAGGTGCCCGATGGTGATGATGGTCGTTTCGTCGATGTCGATCGTCTAAACGGATGTTTTTTTTTTGACGCTAGTCCAAAATATTAATTCTTAAAACAAACAAGTCATTATATTAAATTTACCACTTGATCTTATAATAGAGAGGTTCTAATGAAGATCTTTTTAAAGTAAATAATTTATCAAGGTGTTGCAACGCTAAAGAAAGAATGTACCTATTCCAGAATGCCATTTCTATTCTTAAAGTGCAGAGCATTTGTACATCTTTACTCTATTTCAACGAATAAGCAAAAGTAACAAACTATAGTGTAATAGACTTTTACGTAAACAAGAAAAGTACGACTGTATGCTCCTTTTTGCAATAAAAGAATTTTAATCTTTTCTATTAATCAATGAAATTCAAAACTGAGTTTTTAACAACTTGTATTTCAAAAATTTCTCGTATTCTAGAAGACTATACCAAAAGTTTTTTACTTATTCTAGAATGTATTTCTTATTTCTTCTTGAACGCTAAAGTACGTTCGCGCTCCATGAACGTGAACGCTAAAGTACGTTGACGCTCCTTGAACGTGAACGTTAAAGCACTGGTGAACGTGAGCTTTTTTTATACGAATGATGTTCATGTTGTCTGACGTAAATATAAAATTCTGTTATTGTACTGTAGAAAGAACATATATATTTCTGCTTGGTCTTATCTAATCAATAGAAACTCTAGTGAACGATCAGATGGTCTGCTCAGGGCAGTGACCAGATTATTGCAAGGTAAGAAGGATAGCCATTGGTTCTCTGATCAAGGCACTGATTCTTCCAAAAACAGATCGCCGAGTTCCTGATCAGAACAATAGTTTTTCCTGCAGTGAAACCGGAGTTCCTTGCAAACCATACATACATCTTCCTTTGTTATCGTAACCCATTTGGGGCAAAAGAGCGTTGATTTCTCACTAAATATAACTGGTAATGAAGAAAGCTGTTTCACTTTGTATACTACCAGGTGAAATTGCTATATAACGTTTTGCAATACTATTCATTCCACACAAGGTCACCGTCTATATGAAATAAAGTTTACGTTCACCAGAACATTCACGTTCAAAAAACGTCATATTTAGCATTCACTTTCAAGAAACGCGAACGTACTTTAGCGTTACGTTCAAAGAGAACACTAAAAAGGAACGCTGAACTTTTGCAGGCCTAGTCGTTATCGAATAATTCAACTTATTATTAAAATATTTCTGTTTATGTTAACGATAGTTAAATTTTTCGTTGATTAGCCTATTCCTGGGAACATTCCTGCAGATACTCGGTATCCTGAGAATACACCACAGTGTAATATACTTGTTTATCTTTTGTAGAGTAACACTATAAAAAAATTACCTGTTTCTTTGATTTTGTTGTCTTTGCTTGAAGTGGTTGATTGATGATGTTGACTTACTGATTTTTCACCTGCAGTTTTTGAAACGGATTTCTTCGATGAAGTTATAGCTTTGTGAGATAAGACAGAACTAAATAAAAAGAAGTAAATTTATAAAATAATAAAACTCTGATAAGATCCAGTAATTGAATATTCATCTATTGAATCATAGAAGAATGTTTCAGATTATCAAACAATTGTTGCAACTTTTTGAACAAAACTATGTAGAACTAAAAATTACTGATCAATCCATCTGAAATCTATTCGATCCTGTCTTGCAGTAGTATCAAACTCAACATCATTATTTAGAAAAAATGTTCTTAAAGTCAGTTATCATTACGCAAATTTTTATGTCGATTTCTAATTGAAACGATGTTAATTATTTATCAGTAACTGCTGAAAGTAAATCGTTACTATAATAGTCTCGATTTCTGCAACATCAATCTATGCGATCAGAAAACCATCTGCTTCGTCCATCATCTTATGACTCAATGTTTGAATTAACCACAGCGCGGTCGCAAAAGTTTTTCACGTGTTGCTTAATTCAAATAAGTCACGATATGTCATAAAATATTTCGTGATGAATTACAAGCTCCATTCTGGTTCACAATTGTCGTTATGAAACGAGATATCCATAAGATAGTGCGCTATGTCAAGAAAAAGTAAATTTGTCTAAAACATTTCTGTCGAACCTTACGCCAATTTAAGATCTGTCCTTGCTGAAGTCAGTCTTGACTTAATCCATAGAAAACAAGTTTTACTCAGTTACAATACTTACCTGATAGTGGGAAAAGATTAAAAGTGCAAAATATTTCTGCATGTTTAAAACAATGAGCAAATCAGAATCAGAATCATGTAGATTCTACACTGTAGGCCTATTGAAAAAAGAATCGATTTTGCTCTCAGCACTATCTATTCCCAAAGACACAAAATTGAAAGTTTCTAATTTGTTTGATCATCCCACGTCCTAGCTAGCATTCACATCTTCGCGCAGCTAAATGATTGTGTATATTTGTTTTTATTTTTGAATAACACATGACGAAGAAATTAACAAGAACAACAAGCACAAAAAAATTCTATACATATATACACAGTATTTTATTCAAAAGCCTTGAAATATTTCTTTGCTATTTTTTTTTTTGTAAAAATAAAGTTCCATTTTGTTGACCAGTAAAGAAGAACATAATAGTGCAAGCAATCATAACTACTTTTTTTTGGTTTTTTTGTTCTTTGTCGGTGAATGTCCTTACCTATTTAAATGATTGTCTTTTTTTCCTGTACTTTTCGTTGTATTCTTTTCTTTTGAGCGCGAACGAGATGATCTAGTCGAAGATGTTGAAGATGATCGATTAGGTGCTATATATAAATAGAAATACGTCTGTAAACGACAAATACGATTGTTCAATTTAGTTACACTTACGTTTTCGTTTTTGAGATTTAGATAGTTTTTTCTCACTACCATGATCATGGCGCTTCGATTTTGGTTTTGGAGATGGTGATTCAGAATACGACGAATCGGATGATGTTGAGCGAGACGAGGAGCTACTACCAGAGCTACTCCTTGAACTAGATGATGATCGTGAAGAAGATGAACGCCGTCGATGTTTCTTTACAGATTTCTTTTTCGATTCTTTTCGATTCTTTTTTGTATGATGATGGTGCTCATGTTTCTTTATTTGTGTTGGTTGTTCTCTGTTCAATGATCTTTTAACATTGTTATTATCCACAATTAACTTTTTGTTCTTATTCACATCTTCGACATCATCTTTTTTCTTCGATTGCTTTTCTTGTTCCTTATTTTTAACATCAACTTTTTGATGTCGTCGTTCAGTATCAGAAGGAATCGTGTCTTTCTCTTTTCGTTTAGAGGAAGAATTATCTTTTGATTGCGAGGATGCACGTTGTGATTCATGCTCTTTCTTACGTGCCGGTTCTTTGGTCGATGTCGAACGGGGAGGAGAATGAGATGAATCACGTTGTTGATTTCGTTGTGAACGCTGGTTAGAATTAGATTGATACCGTTGCTGTTGCTGTTCTTGACGTCGTTCTTGTTCAAGAATTCGCTTCAATGGTGGTACATTTGATTCGCTGCCTTCACTACTTGAACGATCACTACTATCATCCACTTTTTTTTTTGATACCTGTTGTTTTTCGGTATCATCGCGTTGCTTGTTGGACTCAGATTTTTCGTCGATATCGGTTGATTTCTTAATTCGTTTATTAGATGCATCCTAAATTAAGAGAAGAAATGAGTTAAGTTAAAGACTGCTACTGATGTGTGTAGCACACATTGTCAACGACTTAAAACTCTGAATAGTTTGAAAAAACGCTAATGATGTCTTCTTATCAAATAGTCGATTGTAACAAACCGTTCTATTATGTTGAATTAACAGTCTCAGTAGTATGTGTACAATTGAGGCAGATCTAATAAGAGAATCCAAAAGTATACAAGAATTTGAATACGTACTTCGTCCGATGACACATTCTTCTTTCTGGATGACTTTTCTCTATCATCAGTTTGTTTCCATTTTTCTGTCTCTTTTAAACTTTTTGGTTTTTTCGTATAGCGATCTTTTGATGGGCTACGACTTCGACTTGTTGATCGTGATACACTCTTCTTTTTTTTGGATTTTATTTCTTTATCCGAAAGATTATTTTTTTTTCTATTTCGATCATCGATAGATGATGCTGTACTAGAACTAGATGGTACTCGCTGTCTTTCAGTGTTTTTGGCTGATGAATGACTAGACTGTTGCTGAGAGTCTTTTTCTTTTGTTTTCGATGGTTTCTTCGTTGTATTTTCTTCATTAGAAGAGTCAGATGTTGGCGAACGATTTTTCGAATTTTTGCTTTTGTTATCATCATCGATTTTCTTTTGTTTCAATTTCGTTGCATCTGAATTAGGCAGTATCGTTTGTTTTAATTTGACTTTATCATCACCTGATTTCTTCTTTCGTGTGTCTGCTTCACTATCAGATGACTGACTAAAAATAGATAAAAACGATATTTCAGTTGCCTCAGAAAAAACATATCTGTTCACCTACCGATTAACTCTATGTTCTTTTCGATTTTTCTTTGATGGTGGCGATACGCTACCTTCTTGAAAACGACGTCGTCGACTATTTTTTGATTCCGGTGATGAGCGACGATTGTTATTATTATTTTCATTATTATCGCGCGTTCTATTCTCGTAATCTCGTGATCTATCCCCCCAGTCTTCTCGTCGTATTCGATCACGATCCGGAGAATAACGTCTTTTTGTGTCCCATCTATCCTCTTTCCTTGCTTTCCACGTTGACGTCGGACCACCTACATCACTTCGTTGTTTTGTTCTTGACTCTTTGTCTTTTGTCTCCATTCTATCTGTTGTTCTACCGTTCATTTTCACATCATGTTCATCCATGTCTTGTTTCGCATCATGCTCACGATTTGGAAATGATTCTTCTTCTCGACGACGTGCATCTCGTAACTTCTCTTCATCTTCCTAAAAAAAACTCAAAAAAATAGAATAAACCATACTTGTATCAGCATTAGAGTTATCTATATGCCATATACTTAACAAATGTTTTGGAAATACTAAACGATCTGAGATTAAGTTTTTCCCATCATACTTACTCTTCGTTTTTGTAATTCTAATTTTTTTTGCTCAACAAGTTCTGCCGGAATTCCATCTGGTGAAGATTGTGCACTCGCTAACTTTTCCCACAATTCACCAATGAATGATCGAGCTTTACTACCACCTAAAAATCCAGTTAAATTTATTTGCATCATTTTCGGATCCGGATTCTAAAATAATAGAAGAATAATTAACAACAAAGAAGTTTTAAAAGGCCATTATTTACCTTTTCTTCAAGTTGATTGAAAACAAATTCTATCACAACATCGTCTTCTATGCCTAACAATTCTTGTAGTCTTTTTGTAATCCACGGTTTGATAACATCCAAATTAACCTTAACCATATCAATCTAAATAAATTTGAATGATCAAGAGTAAGTTGAGAGAGAAGAAGTAGCATTTGACATCTTACTTTAACATCAGAATTTTCAGGAAATTTCATTTGTTTTAAAAGTTTTTTTTGTTTATTAGTAAAACGGCTATCTTGATCTGCAGATGTGCCCTAAAAGAAAACAATGCTTGTTCATATTACAGAAACGGCTATACAACAAAAAGATTTTTATACTTTAAAAAAACCAGCATCAGTCATCTTTGTTGTTGAAGACGAAATATGATTATACCAATCTAAAAGAGGATAGATAATGAACAAAAAGCATAAAATAGAAGAGACTCCTCATGAATAGATTATAATAATGAAAACAAAAATAGACTTTATATTGATCATGGTAAAGAAAACTGTTCAAAATTCATCGAAATGTGTTGTCAAAGATCTACTTGCACTATCAGAAAGTAACGAATAACGTGAGAAAGTCTACCTTCGTAAATGTACTTTTATATCAGTATTGAGACAAATACTTGGGGGACTAATGTCTAAAGTATCCGAAGATTTTTGCAGGTAAGAAAGATGCTTATTACGTAGTTTAACAAAGACAGGTACCCAATAAGTACTTCATCAAGTATTTGTCAGACAACCTAGTAAGTACTTACAAAATGTATCCAAGCATCCGAAGTTCTTTCAAGTGTCTTGTACATATTAACTGTAGAAATACTTGACAAGCACTTCTAAAAATTTGCAAGTAAAAAAGTATTTAGTCTCAAGTATTTTCACTAGAATAAGAACTGACAAAGAACAAAAACAGATAACCACATCAATCGAAACGGTTTATGTCTAACAACAATAATAGATAGAGAGTGCAATAAATTTCTCTTATTGGTTGAATCTTCGACATGACATTTTTAACTTTAAATTTTACCTCCTCAAACATGAACAGACCATGTCCTCAATGGTTAATCTGTTTGAATGTAGCGTCATCTATACACTTGATTTACTCATCTTGTAAAAGCGGCCTCACACAGACCTTGCAACTACTACATTCATATGGTAATATCAAAGAAGAAAGTTGATTACGCTTCACTATTTAACCTTAAGATTGTACAACTGTCAGCTCAAAATGTACACTACGTTATTCTTAATTCGTACAAAGGAAGATTATACTTGGGTGCAGATACATGCCATCATCTTGATGATGATTTCTAAGAGAAATCCACTCCCACAATGAATGCTGCTGGTCTCAATCAAAGCCGAAACTATAAATATAGCGGACGCGGGCTTGTACTAGTGGAGTAGATAAAAGAGAGTAGAGCCCGATAAACTCGACATGCGCTATCGGACAGAATTCTATGGCGGTTCAAAATGTATAACACATGAATAACTTAGGAAAGAAATAGTGTTTTTTATATCATCTTTTTAGCTTCGTCTTTGTTTTATTTGAATTACAATTCTAAAAGAAAAGCTACGAGCAAAGTTTGCTACTAAGCAGATGCAAAAGGAAAAAAGAAACTGTTTTTGGTTCTTATTCTACTGACATTTTCTTTTTTTAAAAAGTTTTTTGAATTCAAAAAAACCCAAAAAAATGTGTGAAAAACAATCACAGTGTAATACGTAATTAGATTTTAATCGTGACCACAAAAAGAACATGAAGTCACAAAGAAAAATAACAAAAAAGAAAAATGAAACACAAAATAACAATAGAAAAACAAAGAAATATTTTTCTTAATCTCACATCATCTCAACACGCATATAAAAACATAACAACACACATAATTTTCCTATAAATGCGAAAACCGTCAGTGATGTTATTTTATTATCTATTTTCCAGAAGCATAGCACATAAGCTAAAAATACTACTAAACTTGTTCTTTTTCTGACGGAAGAGTCGTGGAAGGCATATGGAACTTAAGATTGTTTATTGTTACGACTTTTTCATCCAACTAACAATCCAATTCCAAATCGATATGCTGCTTTAGCATGATTCAGTGAACTACTTAAGATAAATGTAAATGGTAATGGAAGTAAACGTTTTTCGATGACTGCTGTTACAATTCCGTTTGTGTCTATCATTCCTAGACAAAAAAGAAATACAATTGTAACTGATGACCAAGCACATCATTAGAAACTAGAAATTTTTAACTACAGAGCACCAAGGAAATTTAATACACATGTGATCAAAATAGATGTACAACAAACAAATACGCTTGCATAATAGTGCTAACTGGAACGACGAACAAGTAAAAGTGTATATTCCATATGACAGGAACAATAAAATCTACCTATGCAGGTAACACCGTTAGTAATGGTTGTTTAGAAGTCTCACCTCGAAATGTCGTATTCGCTTTTGGTAAATCGTACTGGTAAGACAATGTCGCTGTACTTTCTTCAAAAGCTAAAGAGGTTTCAAATTCCACTCCAAGTTGTAATGGACTATTATTTTTTTGATGAAAATAGCCAACATTAATAATGCCGGTTGGAGAAAATTTAGCTGCACCAAACCAGTCGTATCCTTCATATTCAAATAGAACGATGTTGGGTTTCTTCATGTTAGAGAAAAAAATCAAATACCTCGATAACGACCAGTAAAACTAGTTGTTCCAATATGTTTCCCGGGTATCCTTGGACTTGCCTGATACAGATACTCAGCGCCCACATCAAAATTATTCGTCACTCGTGCTAAATGTTGTAAAACAATAATTCCTACAAGACACAAAATAAGACACGACAACTGATTAGATGTGCTCACACTCTTTTATTCTCAACATACCAGAATTACCGATCAGGTCAAGATTTGCTGCTGTTATAGTAGTTGTAGTATATTTTGTTCGATAATCTAATGCCATTTGGTATCCTGACATTTTGTATGTTTGAACCTATTCAATGTAAAAAGACTGCATCACATTGATCCATGTCTAAAGATATTCAACTCACTTGCGCAAGAAACCGGGTTCGTATTTTATCTGTCCACTGATGAATAATTTGAGCATTGGCACTTCCGTTTGCATCCATATCACCCAAAATAACAGGAAATACCTACAGCAATATTCCAATAAACATTATCTCAGTTTAGAAAAGACAATAAATATCATCTACTATTCACCTCTGACTGAGAATAAAGTTGAGTACCAACATAATTTGCTCCAAATTTGTAACCACAACTGGCACCTCCGCTTAATGTCAACGAATGACTAACTTGAAAATGTGAACTTAGCATTTTTGTAACAGATAATTTAGCTCCTTCAAAAGCTGGTGGCGTAAGTTCTAAACAATACACAAAAATAACATATTTTTACCTCTTTTTCCTACAGATTCTTGCTTCATCCACCTTTGATTTTCTTGAATACATCGTCGAATATGCCAGGGTTTTTCGAAAAATCCATGGTCGACCTTATCCATCGTGTATTTGGAAATGGCGGTAGTTGTGAAGTCTCGGCCAACGGTGTGCTTATACTAGATGATGTGGAAGGTTGTGACGGATCAAGCGTTGTTGTCGCTGTAGAAGAACTGCTAGTGGCAGTAGCACCAGCATAATTCATGACGTTGCTGGGTAGAATACAGAAATAATTTTATGATAATTAATCTAAAATAAAACAATACTAAACATTTTAGCATTTAGATGATAAACAAACACATTCTTCGAGATATTACCAATGAAAAATGTACGAGTGAAAACTGGACGAGCTGGATAGTTCTGGCTTATAAATAATTCTGAGATACCGACCTTATACAAGAATCTGAACTTTTGTTGTTCCTTGAATGCGCAATATTTTCTCCAGATTTCTACTTCTTTAAATAATCTATGTCTTTAAAATAATTACGAAGAGCTTCACATGGAATTTCTAAAGTTGCATTTGATTTTTAGTCGAATATTTTGAATATCTGGGATCTCTAAGACTAAGACTAAGAGTGTTTAATTCACGAAAAGTGTGAGTCATCAAAGGTCACCGACCTGTAATAACAATGACTCAAGCCAAGTAACATCAAAAGAGTAAAAAAAGAACAGAATAAACAAGACAACTAACGTTAGGGCCAGAAGTAGTAAATAAAAAGGAAAAAAAGAACAAATATAAATTCATAACTGACATGTTTCACTGGAAGAGATACTGAAGTAAAGCTGTTTTGAAAGACATTAAAGAAGAAAGACAAATAACTGACTCTGGGAGATTATTCCAATCAGCAATAGTTGAATAAAAAAAAGAAGAATGCACCGTTTACGGAGAAAAACCATCAACAGAAGATGGAACGCGAACATATTTAGAGTGATGAAGACGTAAAGATGAGTAGTGAGGACGATGAATAGTATAAAAAAGAGAAACAGGACTTAGATGATGATAAATTTTGAAAAACTGTAGAAGTCTAAAGTATTTACGACGAAGAGAGAGTTTAGGAATAGAAAGTTGAGATACAAGTAGGGAACTAGAAGAACGATAGTCAAAATTGCGAGAAATAATACGAGAAGCAAGTTTGTTTACAGAATCAAGAACAGTAAGAGAAAACGAACTATCATACAAGGCACAGCAATAGTCAGTTTTAGGAAGAATAGAAGATAGATTCGACGCCGAACTTCAATGGGAGCTAATTCAAAGACACGATTCAATGCTCCAGGCTTGCGTCGACAAGCAAGAGCAATGTTCTTGGCATGATCATTCCACCTAAGATCGTGCGAAACAAGAACACCAAGACAACGAACAGAAGACACAACAGAGAGAGGAACACCATTGAGATACAATTGATTATAAACATACGGAAAGAGATGGAAAGAAAAAGGGAGCCAACAACATTTAGAAACGTTCAGAGACATGAGATTGGAAGAAGACCAATGAGAAACAGAGTTTATACAATTTTGAACATGAGAAAAATTTGAAGAATCAGTAGGGGAAAGAATAACAATCAAAAAAACATCATCAGCAAAGAGACAGATTTCACAATTAGGTGGGAGCGACAGAGGTAGATCATTAATAAAACTGCCTTAAGGAACACCAGAAGGAACAGGAGAAGAAGAGGAGACAGAATCATTCACACGCATACACTGAGAACGGTTCGAAAGATAAGAAGATAGAAGAGACAAAAAAGAATCACGCACACCACAACGAGATAATTTTTCTAACAAGAGAGAATGAGGAACAGAGTCCAACGCTTGAGAAAAATCAAAAGACACACCAACGCACTTTACACCGGCATTCCAAAATTTAAAGACGGTTGAAGATAAAAACAACAAAGCATCCAGAGTAGAATATTTAGGACGAAAACCGAGTTGTTTGTTTACAAAAAAAGAGTGTTTCGAAAGATGAGAAAAAATAAAATTATAAGTTGGACGTTCAAACACTTTAGAAACAACAGGAAGAGGTGAAATAGGGCGGTAGTTAGAAATATCGGCAAGAGCGCCTTTTTTATGAACAGGTACAATGAATGCAGTTTTCCATAAAGTTGAAAAATTGCTAGTAGAAAGACACAGATGAAAAATGAAGTGAAGGTGAGGTGAGAGAATGTCAGCACAAGAAGAGATAAAGGAAGAAGGAATTCCATCAATACCAACAGTAGACTTTTTATCCAAGTTCTGAAGTAAACGCTCAACATCCCGCATGGAAAAGTCGAGGTGTTTATCCATCACTGGCAAGTCTGGAGTGGTAGAAGGAGGAATTTGCCCCTGAAGAGAAGAATAACAAGAGGAAAAATGAGAATTGAAGAGTTCAGCTTTATCCGCATCTGTGGAAACAGAGACTGAGGTAAAGTGGAGTGAGAAGAGGATAGTTTCTTGATAGAGCTCCAAAACTTGCGAGGATCAGAAAATAAAGAGAGAGATCGGAAGTAAGGAGATTTTTCACGTCGAAAGAGGGAAAGAACAAGATTTCTTGCTTTACGGAACTCAGCAAGGTTAAGAGAAGTATAACGGCGTTTAAGTTTACGAAAACGCTGATTACGGATAGAGATAAGATGTGCAAGCTTTGGAGAAGGCGAGAGAACAGAAGATAGAGTACCGAACTGGCACCAGTGGGACGAATCTACGGATGGCATCGTTTACATGCTCAGTCCAAATGTGGACGGCTGTATCAGCATCGGTAGCCGTATAAAGGCCATGAGGTATAAAAGAGAGAACACGCCGTAGTTCAGGCCACTGGGCTTTTTTAAAGTCATAACGATAAGAAGTAGAAGAAAAAAGAGGTTGAACAGGTAAATCAAAAGTAGCAGATAAACAAAAATGAGGAGAACAACCAACAGGGGGAAAATAAGAGAAAGAAACATTGTTCCAGGAAGAAGGATAAAAGGTATAGTCAATACACGTATTTGAAGTAGTAGTGACAGAAAAATCAACAAGAGAACACAGAAAAGAACTAGAGAGACTTTGAACATTGTACATTTCGGAAGACACATGAAAATTAAGATTAAGATCAGCACACAACAGGAGGTTAGAAGAGATAGAGAAATAGTTAGAAACAAAAGTGTGAAGAACATCAAGAAAAAAATCAACAGGAACAGATTGCGAACGGTAACAATTACATAAAAGAAAATCAACGGAAGGAGACTGTACAAGTAATATAAAAGCTTCAATAACATCAGAAGAAGCGAGTAAAGAAAATTGTAAAGAAGAGAAGATATACGTTGCGAGACCTCCTCCGTGTCGATTTCGATCTCGGCGAACGAGAGAACAACCAGAGAGGGTCATCTCTCCATCAGTAATTGTTGCATCGAGATTCGTCTCTTGAAATGAAAGAATATCAAAATCACTAAAAGAAAAGAAAATTTTGTCTGAGACCAAAATTCTTAACAAGACTTTGGATATTGTAAGAATAAATATTGAGTTTGTGGGCTAGTGAATTGTCGTTTTGTCTGGCTTGAGTCACATTACATCAAAAACGATTAGACAAGCGATGGTAGCGTTTTTGTTGTGTATTGCGGATATTTTTACTGGTGTTGGTATCATTATTAGCATTAGCATTAATATTGGTATTGGTATTATTATTATTATTGGAATTATTATTATTATTATTATTATTAATGTTGTTAATGATACGGTTGTTATTCTTGATATTACCGTTTTGATTCGGCCGTTACTGTCCTTGTCAACAACAGATGATGAGGTAGTAGATTGCTGTGGTTGTTGTTGTGACTTATTCCGTCGCTAACGAGCTTCAAAGGCTTGCAGAGATTGTTGTTTTGTCAAATGCTTACCGATGTAAACAATTTTGACAGAAACATCAGACGAGCTTTTTATCATAGGTGCCTTTGCCAAGATCGACGAACGAACAGACAAGTCGTTAAAGGAGATACCGAGAAGTGGCGGATGATCATTATTTGTTGCTGACGAAATTTTAAATCGCCACACCGAGTCAATGGAAGACGGATCAATGTTGATACCAAGGTGATCATGAACGAAACGGAAGAGAACTACCTTATCATTTGTGCTCTCAACAGGAGACAAATTCGGAACATGTCTGGTTCCGAATTTCGTCTGGAGACAACGAGGCGGAACACGATCAACTGTTTTATCACTCAAGCACTTAGGACACCAGTTAGAAAACTGGCTAGAGTTTAATACGCCGTATATGACATTGGTGAAACGTTAACACATGCGATGTGGAACCAAGTGTCGCATGCATCATATTGAAGAGTATTGTCGTTATCGCTGAAGAGGTTCTCTCTGAGATTTGTCGTACTCTGCATAGTTCTCTACGTAAATATTACCTAATCAACTATTTATCAATAATCCTTCTAGAATTTTTTGTTGTTTTTATTTTTGTTTTACTCCCTCTTTTGATAAAATACGAAAACACTATCCGTTAGCCGCTAAACCAATTCCATATGCTTTGTTTTTAATTTTTATGTGAGAATTAAAAATCTGCCTGATGCTGGTATTAACAATTCCAGTTTCTGTTCTGTAAAGAATTGAATTTTAACATCACAGCATCACACTATCTCTTCCAGTACAGCGAATGGAATGTCCTACAGAGAAAGTAATCATATGAGTATAGCAACTGTAAGTATAGTAGTATACGATAGCGTCCTCTTCCGCTAAAGGAAGGAAATTGTTTTACTAACTATTATTTAGAAAGACTAATTGAGAATGTATGTTACTAAAAATAAAAATACATGCTTTTACTTTTCAAACTTTTATTGGATGGAACAATTCTAGCATCTGCTTAATTATTGCTCTTCCGAGGCCATAATGAGCATATTATTGCTTGAAGCAAGAATGAATTAGTATACCATTCAAGAAGGCTCAGATAATAAATATGATTGGAGTATTGTGGTTGCTGAAGATCTGTATGAAAAATATTGCTTAGTATCGTTTTATCAATAATCTTGAGTTCAAAGGCTTAAGTAGAGCACTTAACTTAACGTTCAGTTTGTTTTGGTGTAGTTGTACAGCAGTAACTTAAAAGATAACCGCAGATGTGTTCTTAGTGAACGCTTAACTGAAGATCACGTCACGGAAAACTGATATTTACTTCGATATTTGGGATTATTAATGAAGTACCAAGAATGAAATCAACTCTTGAGTAGGATTAAATGTTACTCAGACTTTGTTTATTACACCCTTTTCTAGTTATACTGATCATTTATATAAAACTTTTGATTTTTTATTAGAACCGGCCTTTTAGATTGAAAAAGAGATGGCAAATTTAAATGACAGAGATGGAGAGGATGGTGATCAAACAACAAACGAAGTAGAACCTGATGAAAACGAATGGAAAAGATTTATTGACGAGTAAGAATGTTTGAACAGCTTTTTTAAACGATCTAACGATTGTTGACTTAAATTTTAACTGTTATTAAACTGGAGCTGAACTCTGACTTGCCGTTTGACTTACTGAGTTTTAACGGAACAAGAATAGGCTCTTTTTCTTGGTCCCATCCTCTTGTCTTGCATTTTCTCTGAAACTTATTCTCTTCAGGAAAAAAAAATAAACTGTTTTAAAAAGCTTTCAAGTTTATTTGTATGTCCACACTAACTGATGTTACTTCTTGTTGTATAATATCATTTTCTATAAAGTCTTATATATAGTTTTGTTTCCTTTTACTCTTTCCAGAATGAAGTATTCCAAAGCATTAGAATATGTTTTACAGAATGCTCCTGTGCGGTCAAAACATCCTGAAAAGAAGGTAAATAAATAATTAAATACCTCTATCAAGAGAATGTGTTGTATTAAATATATCATTTATTTGTGTTTAAAGAAAAAAGCTGCTCATATGGCATTATCAACAATGATGAAAATAAAACAACAAGAGATTTCTGATGTAATTAATTCAATTCCGCCATCTCTTCGGGATACACTGATGAAATATGTTTACAGAGGATTTGAAAGTCCAAAAGATTATGCAAGCAGTTCGTTATTAGTGTGGCATGAAAAAGTAAAATTTTTATATACATGTCATTAATAAGACGTTATATCTCTTTTTTTCGTTTCCTTGGTAGGTTTTGGCTGCAACTGGTCTAGGTACTATTGTACGTGTATTAACAGATAGAAGAACTGTGTAAATATACTAGTGGATTTTATTAAACATTCCATACAGTGAATTTTGTTTTGATCATGATTTATCTGCGTGATAAACTGATAAAATATGTGCACATAATTTATGTATACGCCACTTTTTTCATTTTTGCTGTTGTAGTGTATATTAGCCGATGATATTTACGTCCCTAAGTTCTTTTTATATTCTGATAAAACTTATTTCAGAACGTTAAGACGCTCTCTTCTAATTCACTCGATGTATCGAATTGATCTAACTTCTACAAGATTCTAAATTACTACCAGCAATTATTTTTTAAAACCTCTGTTGATTTATTGAATAACGTGGAAAACTCAAAGAAGTGATTTTCTCATTCATGTTGTTTGCTCCTTATTTCGTATGTATAAAAATCTAGTACCTGTCAGCTCTTTGGTCTATAAATTGAGCATGAGTTTCGTTTCAATGTTCAACATGTATTTTACTGGTGCATATGACAATAGATGGAATGTTGTTTGATTTATTTGCTTCTTTTTCTTTCGAATTTTTTTCGACTTATCAACGGGAGTTATCTTATTTTTTTTGTTTTCTTTTTATTTCCACCTTGTTTGATCTAATCTATTTCCTGTTGTAATTTTTCTCTGTTTGTGAATGTTGGATGATTGATTATTTGCGTGTGTTTGCAATGTTACTTTTATAGTTTATTTACTTTTATACAATCGAGACATTGAGTTTTAGCTTTTTTCTCTCTCCATTCACCTTCAAATTTGAATAACAGCAATACACATTTTTAGAGTACTAGTTAATATTATTCTGATATGATTGATTTTTTTTTTTAGATGGCATGGTATCAAAAAGTAATAACATTAACATCAAGAAAACGAGGTTTTCATCTAATAACAGATGAAATTTTACAACACGTACCGGAAATAAAAAATATTGAAATTGGATTAATGAACTGTTTTATTCAACATACTTCAGCTAGTCTAACCGTAAATGAAAATGCAGCACCAGATGTACGGAAGGATTTAGAAACAATTTTTAATCGATTAGTTCCAGAAGACTCGTCGTATGCACATACGGATGAGGGAGATGGTAAACGACAGTGTTTTTATAAAGATGAAAACTTGTTTACACAATCTTTCTTCATTTAATAGATGATATGCCAGCACACGGAAAATGTGCCTTGATTGGACCAAGTATCAGTATACCCATTACAAACGGGAAACTCGCATTTGGTACATGGCAAGGAATTTATCTATGTGAGCATAGAAATCGTGGAAGACAAAGAAATGTTGTTGTCACATTGAACGGTCAGTTAAAAGAAAAAAGATAAAACAATTATGTATTTTTATTCAAGCAATTTTTTTGTGTAAAAGTATCTATTTTTCTATTTTTGAATTATGCGTTTTGACAGTTTATTTATTTAATGATGAAAAAAAATAGTTATAAAGATATTTTTCTTGATTAACCCATGAATATATTAGGGGAAAAGAATGTCATTCGAATATAATTATCCTCGGGACAGATAGTTACTTTGTCCTCATCCTGAATTATCGGTAGGACTGCATATAACTCATATGAACGATAGTTAACTGCATTTTAGATAATGACAGAGCTAAATAACAAGGAAACGTTGATTGAGCAAAATGGTACAATAAGTGGTCATGATTCAACAAAATCAGATAACTTCGATTGGCCATTTCATGAACAAGTGCGTATTCTCAAACCGAATAATCAAATTAAAGAATTACATACACTTTTACGTGATCGTACAACATCAAGAAGTGATTTTAAATTTTATGCTGATCGTCTGATACGTTTAGTAGTTGAAGAAGGATTAAATCAATTGCCATATGTTGAAGAAGTAGTACAAACTCCGACAGGTACACAAATTTTTGCTTTATTAATATATTTTATTCTATATAATAATTTAGTTTTCATTCATAGGACATTATTTTAATGGAGTTAGACATGAAAAAGGAACATTGTGTGTATCATTAATGAGAAGTGGCGAAGCAATGGAAAAAGGAATTCGAGAGTGTTGCAGGTAAAACTATGTTCCTATAGAAAGTGAAATTATACTTTTACGTTGTTTTTCATTTTTTTTTTTTTATCAGATCAATTCGTATCGGAAAAATATTAGTGAATACCGATGAAAATGTTAGTAAAGTGATATATGCAAAATTACCACCCGATGTACATCAGAGACGTGTATTAGTTGCCTATCCATGTGTGACTACTGGTCAAACAGTGATTACTGGCTTGAATGTTCTATTAAAAGATTATTCATGTAGTCAATCGAATATAATATTGTTGATATTATTTTCAACACCAGACGGTTTAAAACGTATATGTGATCTATTTCCAGACATTAACATTGTTGTATCAGAGATAAATCCTATAGCACCGAATCACTTTGGACAAAAATATTTTGGTACAGATTAATGTGAAAAGAAAATATCTTCACTTTGTTTTTGTTTTCTTTCTTGTTATTACTGATATTTTATGATCTGTTTTTTAATATTCAGTTAACACAGTTGTCGCTTTCTAGTCGTCAAATGATTAAATTAATATGAGCTTGTTTGCGGGTTTTTTATATATAGTTCAAGCACGTCTCTTATACTGCTGTCTATCTCATTTATGCTGAATATGAATTGTTTTTTCTGATTTTTTCAGCTTTATCTACTCATTTAGATAGGAAATTTAATAGACTGTTGATAAAATATGGAGAGAACATTTAAATTCATGTGATACGAACCTCTAGTCGAATACATCTATCAGAGTTCTAATGCAGAGATTAATGATGATTTAACTTAAACAAGTTTTAGTTTTAGATTAATTTTGTTGAATTTATGGACAATTTTTTCTCATCTCAACGAGCAAATGTTAATGAATTTTCTCATCATCAATGGAATAATGTATCGAATAATACTAATAATTTCATTTTAAGTAGTAATAGCGAAGAACATGAAGAACAATCTCCAGTTTGGCTACAACAACATTTAAATCAGCCACAACAATTTTCTGCATATGATCTTCTAGATAATAGTAAAAAACCGACTACGATAAAAGATGATTCATTTGGATTAGTTAAACTGGATAATAATATAACGAATAATACCGATGCCTTAACTCGAGCGATGTATAGTGAAGATGCCGATATGATAGATGAAGAAACAGATGTAATGTTAAAAGAATTGAGAACATTTACTACAGCACAATTGGTGAATAAAATTCGAGATATGATGAATATGGCCTATCAATTAGGTGTAGAAGAAGCAAAAGAAATGTCACGTGGAAAATTATTAAACATATTTGATCAACAAACATCTCATACAAATATTCTAAATTAATTACTATTCATTTTTCTTTTGTTATTCTTGTAGATATTGTATAGAAAATGATGTGTCTGTTATCTAAATTTGTATTTTATTCCTTTCTTTAAGTAAACATTTATTTTGTGAAAAAAAAAGACCTATAAAATCAGAAATAAATTTGCAGTTGTTTAAGTAAGATGTATGCTCGTTAATATGTCTGAAAATGATTCTGAATTTTTTTTTTTTGTTTCGATTCTACTAATTTCAACAGTAGATAGTGGTCAGTATAGAAGTACATTATTGTCTCTATTTTCTTATAGATGATTGAAGTACATGAGCGATTAACAGATACAGTTAAAAAACGTCCTCGAAGTTCTAGTAAAAATCGGTATGTTAATATAAAATTTATTCGCCCAGAATACAAACAGCATGAAATTTATTATAGTATTTTAAAAGTTAAATTATTGAAAAACTTGACATTTTATACGAATAAAAAGCTGAACATGTAAAATTAGTTTTGCAGTTTATTGTAAAACTAAAGTCATTATTTCTAGTTTATAATGTGTATGATAATTGAAGTTACACAATCGACTCCATGTTACCACTATTAACTTACTAGACATATAGAACGGTATATTTTTCATTATTATACAATATTTGATTGTTTATACTTTCCACCTACTAACCACAAAAGCCTTAATCTACGTGTGACTGTACTGATAAACGATCATTCTCATCACGGTGTGAACCATCATGATTACAGAAAACGCGAGAACATTCACGATCAAGAAGTCGATCAAGATCCAATGAAATAAGGTAAAGAAATGAAAAATACTTGTACGTTTGAATGAACATTTGTTATTTTATTTTTTTATAGTTCGAAACGTTGTAAGAATGATGAAACAACTCGTTCATTAGTCATACAAGATAAAATAAATGTTACAGCTACTAATCAAGCTTCATTATTGCTCGAAATGCTGAAGCATCGGAAAAAAGAACAAGAAGCACTTGACAAGGTAATTAACAGTTCATAAACTTAATATGATTATTCTAATCAGTATTCTATTTCAGCCAAAATTTTTAACAAAACAGGAACATGAAACTGAAGCTTTGAAACGTCAACAAGAAGCAGTTGAAAATATTCGAAATGAAGAAATGACAAAAATTGATTGCATGAAATGTTTGATCGACAAATAAGTGATTGCAGATTAATTTCGAGATCGTGAGGAGAAAGACAGAAGACGCAGTAAAGAAAGACGCAGAAAAGCAACAGCAAGATAAAAATATAGGATCGGAACATTACCACAAAGAAGTTGAGAAGAGGCAGAAGCTGTTAAGAAATGATACCTGGGCATGATCATGGTAATAGAGTTTGTTTTCGATGATTGTAGAATTGGACGAACAAGTCGACAACATAAACCTGGTAATGATTCGGCTTAACTTTTCTACTTTTTATTCAATGATTAACAATTGTTTTGTTTTTCTAGGCAGTATGCCGCCAAAACATCGACAAGATAAAAATGTATTTTAATAGTTGAATTGAATTTTTTTAAATTTATTTATAGAAACATGTATTTGTGGAATCTACTCTTTCATACGATGAATCTACTTTCATTCTAGAAAACTATTTTTATATCATATTATTTAATATTATCACCTACTTCGGAACCAAATAAACCCCATAAACAACTATATCTTCTTTATGTTTTTTTAAGTATAGTTGAAACTTAGAGTGGAAGTGTGTCGTATGCTGAGTTCAGTGTAACAGATTTTAAAAAAAACTATCATAAAATTATAAATGAATGTTATTCAATTTTTAAATTTATTTCCTACATTTAGAACAAAATATAAAATGATGTAGTATATAGAACATATGTGCTGTATCTATATAGAAAAACACATTGTGTGTATTTGTGTGCACTTAGTTAGTTTTCAACTGTTAGTACTACACAATTACATTTGATTAATTTGACTTTGATCGTTTTGTGGTGTCACGTACAGTTAACAGAAAAGGAGAACATTTTCTTTTGAATATGTAAGAATGTAGCCTATTCTCACAGCCTTCATCTGATCTATTTTATTTGTATAGGACATTTAGAAGTAAAATTATAGAAAAAATATTTTGAAGAAAAATTAAAAATTGGGCGTCAAACATTGAGTCTATAGTCCAGTGCACTTGATAATTTTTCAATGTACGCACATGTTTTAATTGATGGTAAAACGGTTCTAATAATGATATGTTTTTTATGTTCTGTCACTTTTCCTAATGTATTTGGTGAACATGTTTCGGGGTAGAATGCTCGTCTGCCACACAGACAACCCACGTTTTAGCTGATATCAAAAACAGAACACAAAAAACATACAAAAAAAGTTACTACTGATAACACAGAGTCGATTGCACAACGTCAATCATTGTACAGAATATGGACACAGATCAGTGGATTTAGTTTTGCAGTTTACTGTAAAACTAAGTTCATATGTTCGAATCTCTATTCGTATAAAATTGATTTTGTGTTTTTCGATAGTTATAGTTTAAAATACTATAACGGAATATTTTTTCGCTTGTATTCTGATAGAATAAAGATTATATCAACTATGTTTTGAACCACAATGTGTCCGTATTTATTTCACTACTGACAAAAAGATAGAACTATCGATAAGCATGTTGTATTAAATTTTAAGCTGTAGTATGTCTAGTAGTAACATAAATAATAATTTGTCATAAGGAAATGTGTTTCACTTAAGAACAGTTTTTTCGATTATCATGACTATATATACATGTTATTAACGAGAAAAGTGGATTCGACGTTTATACTCAAAGAAACAATACAAAAATCGTTCGAGAAAATTATCGAATGATGAAAAAAAATATGGAGAATGTGTGAATAATATGCATTTTGTTAAAAAAATAAACGAACATGTAATATTTACAGAACAATTAAATATTTTGAGCATTATACCTATTCCACTTCTATTGTATGGAGTTGATGTTCAATAATTTTGTCTTAATTGATTCTCGTCCTATCCTTGAGAATTTGCAGATTTCCATACACAAAACAAATATTAAGAACAAAATTATAGTAATTTTTTAAGCCCCTCCCCTCCCTAAAAAGTTGATTTTCGTCAAATTTTTCGATTTTTTGATTTATAGCGTATCAGATAGAGCAAAGTGTGGGCTATCGAACGCACTATAGTTTATCATTTTTATGATGAAGATGTTACATAATTTTTTCTGGAACCTCATATTCTACAAAATAACATTTTCTCGAAAAAATGTGAAGACAAAAAACCATATTATGAGAAAAACGCAAAAGTTTTGGAAGTGTAATTCAAGACTTTTTCTACGGTAAAATGGTGTAAAAAGAAGTTTTGAGTAATTTCACGTAGATCATCGATTAGAAGGAATTGAGTGGGCGCATTCAAAGGCGTATGGCGAAAACTTTTGTTTATTCCATATGGTTATGTCGTGATCACCGTGAAATCAATAAGGACCGCACCTATAATCCGAATGAAATCATCGGAATTTATATCGATAAATTTATATCCTATAATAATACCAACAATAATACATTTTTTCGAGAAAATGTTATTTTGTAGAATATGAGGTTTCAGAAAAAACTATGTAACATCTTCAAAACTCATCATAAAAATGATAAACTATAGTGCGTTTGATAGCCCACACTTAAATCACTTTAAGTTACAGATATTAGAGTTGATTGATGTTCTAAAACGATAATTAACAGTGTTTTAGAAAAATAATCTATAATAGTGATATTCAAAAGACTTATGCTTTGATTTTTTCTTTGTTTGCATTTATACAAATCGAAATATAAATTATTTTCTATTCGTTGTTTTTGAATTCATTGATCCATTGGAAGTCCTATCTTCGGATCAGTCTATCCGCGAAGTATTTCCAATTCACTTTTTATACACGTTATTCAGTTAGACATGACATAAATATGCAAATCTGAGAATATGAGTTCAGACGGAAACTCAATCATCTTCCTTCAAACCTATATCATAGACATAATTCGACAGATTTATACTGGATTATTTAGGCAAATCCCATTTTTGAGACAAAAGTATGTAGGAGTGACTACTTACCGTAGACATGTACTCTTTGCAATTGGAAATTGTTTCTCGGTCATGACGAATTTGAGTCCAAGTTGAACAGACCAGTTTGCATGTAAATTCCTGCATAGAAACTGAAAATAACATGCATTTTTCATAACGATCATTAATACCTGATATTGTATGAAAAAGAAAAAACATACATTTTTTGATAGAATCGACTTTGTTGAATGGAACTTGATTTACTCGATGTGCATTACGCAGTAAAAGAAATCGCCATTCTCATTTAGATTTTACATATATCTTACGGTGCTTAAAAGAAGTTATCAATTCTTGTAGTCTGTTGTTTTCTCCATCTATGTGTCTCAAAAGTAAACTTATGATGATTTGTTCGTTACTAATGAAAACAATTTTGTCTGACGGTAACCGATTTTAGTGCGCCGTTTTATTGCAATTTTGTGGAGCTCATATATATATATTATGTCATGCCTAACAGAATAGTGTAGATTGAACTTAAACTGAAGATACCTTACTGAAAAACGTATCTGAAGGTATCAGAAATTATTTCAGATTTCGAAAATACTAATTAGTAATTAGTAATTAGTATCTATTAGTGTTACGCAGTTTTTAACGACATACTACAGTTTTGTCAGTTATGATTCATAAATATAATTTAATTTTGAGCAATTTGTTTTGGTAACGTCATTGAATCGGAATATTGAATACTAGACTAGAGTCATGTTTTTATCACCATTTTTTTTCATTCTGTTCTTTCTCATATGTTGTGAAAGAAATATGTATATTTATGACAGAAAACAAGCGTGACAAAGTTTTAGATTGTACGCATTAGTTTTCTTGTCAAGAATAATACGACAAATTCCAAACTTATGAGCGAAATTATATCATCGTCAAATTTATCCTTGTTTAATCGAATTTATGAGTGTACTTATTCTGAATGTAAAGAT